TTTTTTTCTTAAAGAAATTAATTTCGAGAGGATTATTTTATATGAATATATACATGCATTTCTCAAGATACAAATGAATTTGAATGAACTGAACAATGAAAATTACAAAACAAAATATAAACATGACTGTCTATTGTTGTGGAAGATAGTGATTTTACTGTATGATTCGGGGCTGTTGCTGTTGTCCACTTGTAGCCTGACCTGCTTGCTGATGTTGCAGTGCACAACCAACTTGACCAGGTTGTTGTTGCTGTTGGTTATTGCCTTGGCCAGGTTGTTGTTGCTGTTGTTGGTTCCATTGGCCAGGTTGTTGCTGTTGATTATTGCCTTGACCAGGTTGTTGCTGTTGGTTATTGCCTAGGCCAGGTTGTTGCTGTTCGTTATTGCCTTGACCAGGTTGTTGTTGTTGTTGGTTGCATTGGCCAGGTTGTTGCTGTTGGTTATTGCCTTGGCCAAGTTGTTGTTGCTGTTGGTTGTTGCCTTGGCTAGGCTGTTGCTGTTGATTATTGCCTTGACCAGGTTGTTGTTGCTGTTGTTGGTTCCCTTGGCCAGGTTGTTGCTGTTGATTATTGCCTTGACCAGGTTGTTGCTGTTGGTTATTGCCTTGGTCAGGTTGTTGCTGTTGGTTATTGCCTTGACCAGGTTGTTGTTGCTGTTGGTTGCCTTGGCCAGGTTGTTGTTGCTGTTGGTTATTGCCTTGGCCAGGTTGTTGCTGTTGGTTATTGCCTACGCCAGGTTGTTGCTGTTGGTTATTGCCTTGACCAGGTTGTTGTTGCTGTTGGTTATTGCCTTGGCCAGGTTGTTGTTGTTGTTGTTGTTGTTGGGTGTTTTGGCCAGGTTGTTGCTGTTGGTTGCCTTGGCCAGGTTGTTGTTGCTGTTGGTTATTCCCTTGGCCAGGTTGTTGCTGTTGGTTATTCCGTTGGCCAGGTTGTTGTTGCTGTTGGTTGTTGCCTTGGCCAGGTTGTTGTTGCTGTTGGTTGTTGCTTTGGCCAGGTTGTTGCTGTTGGTTTTTGCCTTCACCAGGTTGCTGGTTCTGTTGAGCAATGGGAATTTGACCAGTTTGTTGATTTTGATTGACTGATGTCGATGCTGACATTTTTTTATTCAGTCTTGTTTAAGTTAAGGTAATAAACGAGATATAACTATTCACGATTGTTGCTTTGATTCAATGTACTGTTGTGCTTTGATGTGCATCTCGTATTTATATTTGAGAAATGCGCATGATAGAAATTATAACAGCGCAATTGATTACAAATACAAGACAACATCAATACAATGATGTTTTGTTTTTACTCAGATCACACCATATAAGTGAAGTACGAAGAGTGTTTCATGTAAAAAAAAGACGTCGCAATACTCTTGACATAGAAGAAAAAAAGTATTCTATGTTCTGTTTTACTTCTGAGACGCAAGTGTCGTGAAGGACGCACAAAAATAAGAGTATTACATCGTTAACACGTAGGTCACGATGACACGATTGTCAACGGTGATAAAAACGATGACGTAAGTGAAGAAACGAGCGTCGTAGAGAACGATGACATACAAAAGTATACGACCGTAGATGGTCATAGGTTGTTCGTGAGATGAATTGTACTTGTGAAGTATCTAGTTCTTATATTTTCAACTCAACAATGACTTCAATGCTTATTATTACTTTTGAATAGAGTGTTTTTTTTCCACTTAGATTCTTTTGATCAATAAGTTGAGTAGTGTTGGTTAGAATATTTTTAATGAATGATTTTCTTTCCTTATTTAGTTTGATTCGAACAAAAAATTAACAATAAATATCTTTTCAAATGGATAATGTTTTTGCGATATGTGGAGAATGGAATATTGCACTCTTTTTTGTGTTGAGAAGACTATGCAAATAGGATGAAAAACGACATTGTGTAAGACTGTATTCAATGATTCACATTGACTCTGTCCTAGCTTTATGTCATCCAACATGCAACAACGAAATACAGTCGTAAATGAAGAGATAAACAGTACAAGTGTATTTTATAAGGTCATCATCTATGCTTGACTGATAACACACGCACACTGCCACTACATGTCATTTCTCTTTCGTTTCTTCAAAGCGTTATCGACACAACTTACAAAATGAATCATTCAAAGAGAGCACATAAGATTGGGTCAATATAATGGATGACATCGTAGGTAAATAATATACATATATATGTATAAATGATCTACGTAAACATGGAATACTCAATACTGAAATAAATAGTAATGAATTGTAAAATAGTCAATTTATTCTATAGAATTATCAGTAAAAATATATGAATGTGATGGGTAGAAAATGCAGATTTGGCTAGTAGAAAAAAAAAGATAAACTGTACCCATATAAAGTATGAAGTAGTATGAGATAAATAAATTGCAATAAATAGAAAGACAAAAGAAATCAGAAGAAAACCAAAATAACATTGTGTATTAATGCAGACTAGGGATGTACTAGTGACGTTGCACAGTTCATCGGTCCACCGCAGTACCGATGGCACCGGTGCACTGGTCATTATTTTTGTTTTCCTCTGCGTGTGCTACTCGGTACATCCCAGAAACGCGACCAGTCAGTTTTCTGATAGTACCTGATCTCTTGTCCTAATCAAATGAATTTTGCAAATGCTAATCGGAAATTCTGGATATGGCCGAAGATCAAGGCAGTAGAAGTATTGAAACGTACGGTGAATACCGGCACATTAGTATCAATGGATGCATTGACCCTTATATTGTCGTAGTGGTAGCAGAAAGCGGTCATCGCCGTACACTGTAAATAAATCCGTAGAATACTAAACCCAAAAAGGGTTGATGAAAGTGTAACGTATAATAAACCCTTTTTACCGTGTGTAAAACTTTCCTAAACCCTTTTAAAGGGTTTAGGAAATCTATAAACCCTTTCACAAAGCCTTTAAAAGGGTTTAGGAAATCAATATAATTTTTCATAAACCCTTTAAAAGGGTTTAGGAAAACAATAAATTTTTTCCGATACCCTTTGGAAGGGTATGTGAAAGGGTTCTAGAAATCAATAAACGCTTACATAAACCCTTGTAGTGGGTTTATAGTAGTGTTTATTATTGTCGTCCACCCTTTCATCTACATTATCACGGGGTTTCGGAAAACTTATTCTTTCCCAAAATTCATATGTTCAGTTTGATGAGTCGTGCAAGCAAAACTAAATGCAAAAAAAATAAATTTTTTTAATTTAAATACAACTTACTTGTGATTTTGTTCTTGCGACTAAGCTAAATAAAAAGAAAAAAAAATATTTATTTTAAAATATACTTACATATAATCTTGAATTTGATATTCAACTAAATGAAGAAAAAACAGCATTATCTATTTTCAAATAATACTTACACATAATTTTGAGTTTGATATTCAACTAATGAAAAACAAACAGAATTATGTATTTTAAAAAAATAGTTACATATGATATTGAATTTCCTATTCAACTAAATAAATGAAAACAGATAAAGATTAATATAAAAATAATACTTGCATTTGATTTTTAAATTTAATATTCAACTAAATGAAGAAGAAAGAGAATTATCTATTTTAAAATAACACTTACATATGATATCGAATTTGATATTCAACTAAATAATGAAAAAAGATAAATATTAATATAAAAATAACACTTACACATAAATTTGACGTTGATATTCATCTGAATGAAGTAAAAACAGAATTATCTATTTTAAAATAATACTTACGTATAATTTTGACGTTGATATTCAACTAAATGAAGATAAAACTAAATTATCTATTTTAAAATAACACTTATATATGATATTCAATTTGATATTCAACTAAATAATGAAAAAAGATAAATGTTAATATGAATATAATACTTACATTTGATTTTTGAATTTGATATTCAACTAAATGAAGAACAAACAGAATTATTTATTTTCAATTAATACTTACACATATTTTTGAGTTTGATGTTCAGCTAAATAATGAAAAAAGATAAATATTAATATAAAAATAATACTTACATTTGATTGTATTGCTTCGAGAATTTTAAATAAAAGAAAGAATTATTTATAAAATAATAGTTGCATATTATGTTTGACTTCATAATGAGCTGAGTAAAGATTTTATGAATAATACTTATGTTCATTATGGTGGTTTGTGTACATAAAACTAAGTGTCGTTTTGTTCTAGAGGCTGATGTAAATGGAAAGTAAGAGTTACTGATGTGAGAATTCAATTCTATTTGAACGCACAATCTGAAATTATTCCTTTTTTCAGTCATATGAATTTCGCTGTAAGATTGTGTATCTAATCGCAACATTATTCAATAAATGATGTTACAAACCATAAAATTCAACATCATTCTGATATAGATGTATAACGTATTTGATTAAAATAATTTCAGATAGAATAATGATTGACCCAATGTACGTGGTCATATCCATCCATTCCGCGAATTTAAAAAGAGAAAATAATCTAAGAGAGAAGTTTGGCCATTTCATACAACAAGTAATAATTACTCCGGAAATAACTAAAGGGTGGCCACTCATTTCGTCCCATTACTTTTCGTCCCCTTACACTACATCCCATTCATTTCGTCTCTCGCTCATTTTGTCCCTTTTCATTTCGTCCCAAATTCATTTTTTCCCAGTGTCATTTCGTCCCATACACTTCGTCCCAAACTCATTTTGTCCCGTTACACTTTGTCCTACCGGACAAGTCGTTTCTGACGATTCTAGTTAATATACAATATCATGTACTATGATCTTCTACGTTTAATATATTAAATAAAATGAAGAATGAATAAAAGTTCAAGAATTTAGTTTCACGTTAGCAGCCACACCGGCCAGATCTTGCGGGTGAGGGTCACAGCTTTCGCATCGAAAAATACGTTTTTCATCAGTCAATCGGTATTGCATGTACACGAACTTACCATGATACACAATCGGATTGCCTCTTTTACTCTTCAAAATTTCAATATCACCCATCGGTCATGTAGATAGCAACACTTGATTAAATCAGCAGTTACCGGGATTTTTTTTGGGGATTTTTTAATAAATCTATATACGTTTTTAAATAAATCCCGCACTATTTTGAGGGTGAGGGCGAAGGCGATGGTGAGGATGAGGATGTAGACGCAATTGTGGGTGAGGGCAAAGGGGGCAGCAGTCGAGTGAAGGTGCAAGAAAATCCTGATGCAACTAATAAATCCCAATAAATCCCCATTAAATAAATAAATCCTAATAAATTCTATAGAAGAAATAAATCCCAAAACAATAAGTCCCGGTAGCCCCTCGATTAAATAGTAAAGAAGAACAGCTTTACGTGGTGAACAATATTTGAGTGTGAATTTTTTTTTCTTTTCTGTTTCTCTTTCGTTAAAGTTAGCTAATCATA